AGAGATGCGCTCGTGATAACGTTCGGCATTGGTTCTGAAAAACAGCTTATTGGACCTCCCATATATCGCTCTTCAAACATTAGTGTAGAAAACCCGCAAAATCCCTTCAAAATTGGTAGGTTTCTCGAGAGTTTGGTTTATGGGCTTACGCTACCTTGTTTGATCACCTCCTAAGTGACATCCCCAGCAGAAGTCGTGTCGAAGAACACGCTTGAATAGAAACTCTTTTCCATGTGAGATAAGCTAAACACCCTTTCAAACAATCAAACTGTTTTGGTGGGAGTGGAAAACGGTGCGCAACCTAATGATAGAACGATGGCCCGTTTTTGCTTCGGTGTTGCCTTTACCTTCAAGCATTTTTTAGGAAGTACATACAGCACCCTTTCCAAATTTTTCTACAAATAATATCTCTATTTCTTTGGGTATCCAGTCTTTTAAGTATTCCTGTTGTTATGAAAGAGCTTTCAGTTTTGTAGATTCTCCAACAATTCTTTTTCACTTCCAATTCGAGGACCTAACGAAGATAGGGCTTATTTATCTATTTGTTTACTTATTTATTTATCTGCTGTTGCCGTAATTTCTACAATGAAGACGTAGCACGTTTACAATAGAATAGCCATGATTTACATGACACAAAAGAATAAAAGGAGGGGGATTGGGCCACGGCTCGAAAGGAGGAGAAAGGTCAAGTCACCTGCAGTTGTCACTACCATTAACAGTTCCCTTTTTATCGCTATTTACGTGCATTTCAGGTGGTTAGTTCTTGCCGAACATTCCCCGGACCACTAAGGCTCCGTTACCTAGGATTTGACCAGAATCTTATTTGTCAGCAAGAATGAAATTGGGGACATGCACATGCAAACTAAGCAACTAAGCATGATTTTTGCGATGATCCAAAACGTATTCAGGGACCACCACAATTATGAAAAGAAGACTAATGTGCAACACACACCAAAAACAAACACATTTCGGTGTCTCGACATTTACTGAGAACAAAATCGCTGAAGACTTACATGGTGATGAAATCTGTGCGTCCGCAATGCAGTTTGATTGAAGCCGTGCCTCAATACTCGATCCATACAACCACGAATGTGCTTATAGCCAATAAAAACACCTGAAAAGGCGAAACTTCGGAAACCAGGAAGCATGAACCTCGACTTATTTATTGATTCAACAATAAATGCTGGGAAGCCAGTGTTTTACTACAGTCGGAACAACCGTAATGGCCTCAATAAACGGAACGAGACCGTCACTGGCAAGTTCTGCTGCTGAAATAAAAATTGCTTTTAGTAAAGAACTGACCAGCTTCTATGTCAGGTTCCAGCAATGATATACAAACGGTGGAACAAGGCACCGTCGGCATTCCACGTTCACTTCCTGGATCCCTACATCGGTCCGTGAACACCTGAAAGCAACAAGGTCAAGGGTTCTAGAGATCATGGGTTCTGTGAGAAGCTGGTGATTCAGCAAATACATCGGAAAAGAGCTCACAACTTCAGTTAAAATAGAAAGATCTAGAAAAGACGAACCTTTGGATAGATGTAGGTAGTTTGTAGATATTTCCAGCTGGTTTGATACGATAATGACATACACGAGAAGCACTCAATTTGTCGTGGCAGTGAACCTGCAACGGCTGCACGGTTAATCTTGAGACCTGCTGACTCTACATATCACTTCACCCTTTTCTAGTACAATAGTAGAAACCAGTACGGTAATGGTAATTGCTGGAGGGAGGGGAGGGTGCAGTTGGGGCTTCTAGAACACGCAAGCTACGATAACTACATACTATCTAACTATCTAGCTTGAACTGCTAATTCGAATCGCTGGGTACGATGGATTTATCTAGGGGATAAAACGCGGACGTGAACTGCTCTGGTAACAGCGTGAGTCAGTGCAGACTGGTCGCGGTTCCTATTAATACGAAGTGGGATGTACATTTTTATTAAATTTCGCTTTCTGTATCGATCTTCGACCCTAATTTTTTCGAATTCGTTCAATGGTTTTTTCGGATTTTTTGTGGATTTTTCGATTTGCCGTGAGCACAAGTAACCGTGAGCTGACTACACAAGGCCCTGCTCATGTAACTGTAACTTACTGCACAACTCGAATTCGATATGCAGACTTGGCGACACACGAGTGATTGTTGCTCAGCTGATTAGGCATGTGACCCAATATTGAATTTTTTTAATTTGGAACATGGTATTTGTACGAGCACTGCCTGACATGATTGATAGTGGCAGTGATTTTACATGTGCACATTAAAGACAATAATTGGCATGTTAATGTAAAAGCATTGCATCCAATAAATCGATCGATCAGTAGATTGATAGAGCCCATCAATCAATCAAATCGTGCCACCATTAGCTGGCAATGACGACGGCTCGGCGCGTAGTTTCACAAAATTACGGTAGGAAGTAGTGACCTGACCGAACCAAACGCAAAACTGCCAAAAACCCCGCGGAAGAGTTTGCAAAATCGAACTATTTGCTAGAATTGAAACAAAATTGCATTCAGTCCAGGACAAGATTGTGATGTAACGCTGGCCTGAAATAAAAACTTCACTCTGCCCTGAAAGGTAACCCTTTTAGAAACGTTGCTTCGGTCCAGTGGTACAATTCCTAAGTTTCCATGATACCTACCTCAACGAAGGTATTTTTGGGTTAGTTAACACCCCCCTTCACAACGACCCCAGAAATTCGCGCACACACGCCCAAAATTCGAACACCTTAAAAATTTTCAATTGCCAGAAACTCATCTCATCACAACTGAATACGCTGACGATATTTGTGTGGTTTTGCAAATAAAGAAATTGCAAATATAATTGTGGCTGCTTCCTTTATTTCAGTTGCAGATTGGAATTTGAATTCGAGTGTTTCTCTACGATATTTGTGTTAACTTGCGATCGCTCCATCTCACGCCTGCTGTTCACAATGAACAGGGCTTCAATGGCCGCTTCTGGTTTGTCGTGTGTTTTTTCCGATGCACCACCTAGTTGCGATTCCGAGGGTGGTTGAAGATACGATGTTTCGAAGTCGGCAGCTCTATGCCCATAGTGTGGCGAGGGGCATCTTGCCATGATGCAGGTGGTACCACGAGCGGCACTACAAGGGTAGTCAATTGGCCTATTTGAACACTTCTCTATTGTGTTTCTCGAATGGGCCGTTACTTATATTCAGCGTTATGCATTGTTCGATAATTACCCTAAATGCTGCCTTAGCAATTAATTCCTCCTTCATTAATTACCTAGGAATTTTATTGATTACTTTCCACCTTTGAACTGAACAACGAACCGCTTATGACCTTGAAGGCATGTGTGATGTTGAATCAGGGTCTCTTTTCCTACTCGTTACATTTTTTTTATTAGGTGATTACATTCGGAATAGAGTTGCCTTCATTTGCATTAGGTTGCTAGACAGCTATTTGTAAAGCCTTTTATATTTACGATTTCTTGAATATTTTGTTTTCTCTATTACTTCCAGTATTTACGCTTAGGCGTACTGTGCCACAATTTGTCAACACATCGCACTGATTTTGGCACGCTCGTGGTTGATACTGAGCGCACGAATAAATAAAAAATAATTACTGCAAATCGAATGGTAAAGGGAAAAGATGAAAAATAATGATTCAGCCTGAAGCAATGTGTTCAAACTAAGGATAATTATGTAAGTCTGAAGAAGGGAAACTCGTAAATAAGACTCGTTTCACACTCACCTAAATCATGTCCTCGAACAGATTCGATTACGCTGAATGACAGAAGCACTGCTAACATGCTCACAGTATTGACATTACCCGCTGGAGGAATTTCAAAGATCGAGAGAATCTTCTGAAGACTTCAGACAATCGATAAGATCGAGCGATATCGGCGACGAATGAGTTCATCGCGAATGACCGGAGAAATGAGATGATTCGACAGGACTAACTGTCTTGCAATGCTTTCTAGGGGAAAAAAGAGATTCGGTTAAGAAAAACTGTGAAGAAGAACGAGAGAAGAAGTCAAAATAAATGAACGAGTGAAGAATGTCTGCCGGGCTTGTTCCCCAAGTAAAAACGTACATAATATCTAGATCAAAATCTTAATTGCTCTTTCTAGGCTGAGATGCGCATTCAATGGGAGCCGGCGACAAAGTGCGGAGGAATGACAGCGGATGAGGTCTTAAATCAGTCTCACTTTTTTTTTCACGGTAGTGGCCCTACTTCGATCGTTACAATATGAATGTACTGATAATGTCTATGGCAGTAAGTAGATCGGGTTTTCAATGAGAGTCAACAATTCAATAGATTGAAGAAATTGGAATCAAGGACGCTAGCATACATTATACGAAGTTATAAGGGTCAAAAATCATAGGTATAATACTGAATGTCAGTTTTCTCAAGAAGTATCACTCTCGCGTTTTGCTCGATCACATTCTTAACACTATGACGACAGCGCGGGACACATACGCCCCGCACTTTCACACGGAAGAGACTTGTTTTTCCTAAATTGTGCCTCCATTTTCATGCTTCAAAGCTGGCCCTTCCTAATGTTGGATACGAAAAATAGTTCTCTCGTTACCACTAATGAAATTATTGGGTAATGTAGTAACTGTTAATGCAAATTTGTAAAGTAAGGTGGGTAGGTTCGCGCACAAGGGCATGTCGTCAACGTGTTAATGAAGATTCCATCCGAGAAACTAGAGAGGTTTATTAAAATAATATTCCTAGAATCGCGAAATTTTTAGCTTTATTCGAAGATATCTAGACTTACAAAAGTGAGCTTTCAAACCACACGTCCCATGAGGGCAGATTCATTCAAACAATCATAAGAGGTGCTGTAGGTTGGGGGTGAGATCGAATATGTAAGTGAAAAACGTTTTAATAGATACAAAATTCCGTAGCCTTTCGGTCATGAAATCATGTGTATTGAATAATATCTAGTAAATAGTAAGTGATAAGATTCGTAACAGTAAGAAGTACCATATAATAAAATCATTAGGCGGCAATATATGTGATAAAATATAAAAAATAGTAATTGGATGATCTGAAGTTACAAGCGCAGCTCGTATTTTGTTAAAGATTCTTCAATTGGAGGAGAAGCCTCTAAATTCTCTCTTCGAGTATGTGACATCGTTGTAATAATACCTTTGCTCTGCCAACGAGGTTTTGCGGTGGGGATCCAGAATGACAGTTTTTACAGTTGATTACTATTAGATAAAGTTATGGATTGGGACTTCAAAGAAGGCGATATCGTCGAAACGTCCGCCCATTAATAAAATCTTCACCGAAAACTTCGCCCGCAGAGGAAGAACACGGAATGGAGGAGAAGTAATTTTTTGAAATCCTTTTCTAAACAGAGAAAAACGAATTGAAAATGAATATTGCAGAATATGTTCCGAGGATAAAAGCTGTAAAGATGACCAGGTTGTTAAGCGCAGGTAAGTGTCGTCTCGATAAGCATAGAGTTAGAATAAACTCAGATGAAAGTGTGAGAGAGAGCGAGGATCCTATTGAAAAGACAAACGGCCCATTCACTTCAGATTTTATGTGATGATTTCAGCGCTGTTGATATACGAGAAGAGTAAAGGTGTGATCGAGGAGGGGTGTCAGGTGCTCGTCGCCCTATGCTGTCGTTCATAACACCTCATATCCCCGGACCATCGAGGGCATCCAATCGGGAATAAGAGATCATAGCGACTTTACGGGTGCAGCGCATTTTTAACAGTAAACCACAACGATTCGTCTTTTGTCATTGGAGGTCTTAACTATGAAGTAACCATCTGTCTTAACAGTTGCTGCCAAGTCTGAGAAAATGTTATCACAGAGCGGGTAACGAGATTGATGACAACGGAACATCGAAAACTCCGTGACTATGCCATGGAAATGCAGCGAAAAGCTTTAACAGGTGACATAATTTTTAGAATTCTAGAATTTTTAAAACGCGCAGAGATGGAATAGTGAAACGAGTGCTGCTTTTAGACTCATTGTCTGATACGGAGAGAACTTGACTTATGCCTTAGGTCCCGTCTGGCTCGATTCGTGTTAAATTCGTCTGTGACTATGAAATGCTCTCACTTGCTGCCTTATGCCACTTATTGTAATCAGTATAACGGGCAGATCCACATTTATCTACCATTACGACTCTAAATGCAAACAAAAAGGGATGATCAACGTTAAACGCTCACTCCTATCCTTCACTGCTCCCCAGAACATGGACAGAGAAATGCTGCGCGATTCCGGCAGCACAGACTCCTCGGTGGTGTAATCGTTAGTTTTCGGCTCAGTAAGCATGAGGCACGAGTTGGAGCTGCGCTGAGGTAGAGTTTGGCCCATAACTGAGTATTCTTGGGAGGACTACTATAAATATCTTGCGACAACAAACAGCAATTTGCTGATGGCGGTTACATAGCACCATCGAAATGAATTTCAAAAATATCGTTGGTCAGATCATCCTTGGATGAACACTTTTTTGCGAACACACAGGACAGGCCATAAGTCGAAGGAGAATGGATGGATGTCGGGAGCGAGCGTGACGTCTGAATAGGAATGAGAGTTTAGTGCGAGTATGGACAAGGATTTGTGTCGATTATCGCTAGTCCCCAAGGGGATCTCAGCGACGAAACGGGGCAAGAAATGAGCCCTCGATTTCGACCCTAAATTCTCGTCAGCGATGTCTCCTGAGCAATCTTCCGAAAAAGGCCGCGATCAGAAGCTTTTCGTGTGAAGATAGCCGAAGGTGGAGGGAACTCGCAAACATCAGGGGCTCAAAAATTCGTCTTCGGTACTTCCCCACATGACATTCACCCATGACTCGCTGCATTTAGGTCCGCTATTCTGACCAGATTATTTGTGCTCTGCCGAACCGACCTATTATCCGAGCTATTTAATTACTTATCCAACACAAAATGTAGCGCAAATGTAAGGAGGCGTTACTGTGGTAAAAGTGAAGTAATGGGGCCAGAGCAAAATGAGCTACGGCAAGTTGAAAACTCTGGGTTTCCATTACCATAGGAGCTAGACAAGGTTTTAGACAAGAAGCCTAGAGGAAGTCGCAAAGTTTTCCTACAGTGAAAATAATTTTTCTAGATAGTTAACTGATATCGATAGAAATGTATGTATGTTGACTATAATGTTTTCCGAGGGCTAAAACTCGCTCAGGCCAAGCCTAAGTTTTCACGCTCCAGTGAGGAGGTGTTCAATACGCCCCTCCAGGAGAAGCAGTAACTGAAGTGATTACCGACCTGATATCTAAGTTAAAGGAATCTTGCGCGGAAAAATCATGATTCTATTTCAGCCATAAATCACTGGCTTGAGACTCATTATCCACGATAATAGTGAAAAGAACTGAAGTATTGCTTTCGTTTTGATTAGAAATTCGAAAACTCGAAAAGGCTGCTACGCGTTCGAATTGCCCACGGACGTCTTTCACGAATGCTGGCGACGGGGATGCTCAAACTTGGTTCTTGGAGTGCATTCACTAGAAGCTCTTTCTGGCCTTCTGCTTCGTTGCATTCACATCTTACACTTCTACTCCATCCTATTCCATCGATCGATTTGTCTCCACTCTCCGAAATCGCGCGCTTTAACCCGATTCTCTCATTGCGTCGCCTGGTACGTAGCCGGCCAAACGCCGTCTTCTTTCCATGCCTCGCCTGGCTCTGCCTCCTGGTCCTTCGATGGTCCATAACGTGTAGTTTTTGTACGTTTGTTTCTCTTCAGAAACCGAATCTTCATGCGTGAAACTTTGTGTGCTATTTCCAGTGATCACAACTGACATATTCATGTTAGGAAAGAGTGCAAGAATTTTCCGCGCAAGATTCCTTTAAGTGCGAACGAACGCGCTTTCTGCAGCTCACACTGAATGTCTACTCCCTGGCGTAACGCTGAACGAAACATTCCAACTTGTTCTCGAAATTTCTTGAAAACTGGCCCAATCAGTCCCTTAGACCTGAAGACTAAGGATTTTTAATCAGCTCGCGATTTATATGAGGTGCACAACTCAGTCGAGAGAGTAATATATGACCTCGCGTATGGCAGTAAATTAGAGAACAGCTGGAGCCGATGGCTTGTATCGATGGCTAGTTAGCTCCAGCCTTTGAACTCCTGGATGGAAAGCGACACATTTTTCAATCTCTGTGAAAAACCGCTATTCGAATTTGCAAAAGGAGCTTTCCAGCGAAAGCGTTCGGAGTAAGGTATCACTGACGTCTCGTCCTCTTCCATCCTTATCTTCTCGCCCAAGTCAATCAAATGTCAAATAGTGTTTAGCGACGGATGTTCACAGTGACAAAATTCTAACAAAGAGCAGAAATCAATCGTGGAGGAAAAAATGCCTAGTTCCTATGGACTTCTATGGAAACTAATGCGCACGAGAAGGAAAAAAGAACATAAAACTGTCAATGGAAAGGAAGACTCCGTTAGAAGGAAAGGTAACCGTTGGTGTATGGATAGGTTCACGTCTTTTGGGTAATCTCAAATTACTCTAGTTGGTCAAAAATGGGTGACAAGCAAAATGTGACATATCCATGAATGTCGTGACTCCTTTTCAATTCACATATGGAGGCTGGAAGGATTGAAGACCGGGGTCGCATTGACCCACATTGCGGCATATTGGAAAGGTAGCATGAAGAATGAAGATTGAATCTTGGAAAGGTTGGCGCCGTTGAAAGCACCCTAGCAAGCAAGTGAATCGAGGGCTCAAGAAGTTTTTAGTGACTTCGGAGCGATTTTTAGTATCATTTCCACACTCTTCGACCTATCGCCCTGTCCTTTCCTCATGTCATTTTGAAGGGAAAA